AAAAATTCTATATCCTACACTGCTGGTGGGACTGCAATTAGTTCAACCTCTGTGGAAAGCAATATAGAGATACCTTAAAGCGATACAAGTGAATCTACCATTTGATCCAGCAATCCCATTGCTGGCATCTACCCAAAGATCCAATGACACTCTACAAAAAAGACACCTGCACTCGAATGTTTTATAGCAGCACAATTCATAATTGCAAGGCTGTGGAAACAGCCAAGTGCCCATCAATCCAATATGATTAATAAAATGTGGTATATGTATACATGGAGTATATTAGCTCTAAGAACCAATGGTGATATAGCACACTTATATTTCCTGGTTAGAGCTGGAACCCATACTATTAAGTGAAGTTTCAAAATGGAAAACAAGCACCACATATGCTCACCCAGCAAATTGGTATTAACTGAACAGCACTAATGGTCACATAGGTACTGCAGTAATAGGGTATTGGCAGGGGGGAGGGGCGGTATAATATACATAATGAGTAAGATGTGCACCATCTAGGGGATGGTCATGCTGGAGACTCAGACTTGAGGGGGGGGAATGGGCATTTATTGAAACCTTAAAATCTGTACCCCCATAATATGCCGAAATAAAAATAGAAAAAAAATAAAAATTAAAAAAAAGAATATACACAACTATCTGAAAAGGCTCTTCCCTTTTCCAGTTACATATACATAAACAGATTTCCTCCATATACTTTTACTTAAACAATATATGACAACAGACTGGTGCAGAAGCAATTATAAGAGTGCAACTGTCTTATATTATGCAAGACATTAAAGAAATTTACATAAATGTAAAACAATGCTATTGTTTTATTTTAGAAAACAGTTTGTTTTATTAAGCTATTTTTTATTTTAGAAAATATAGATAATTTTCATGCCAATGTTTATGTCAATAAATTATAGTATTAGAATTATCTTAAATGAATTACTATATAAATATTTTTAAATTTTCTCAGTTGTCATTTTTAGTATAGTAAATACTGATAGATATTACACACATAAAGAAAAATTCCTTGGGATCCTCAACAGTTTTTAGAAGTATACAGGGGCCCTGAGACCAATAAGAATTATTGCATTAATCAATTTATTATATTTATAATTCCCTATTTTACTACACATTTATTAGAGTGGTATCTGATGAAAATCTATATCTCTATAAATTCAAAAATCTTCTTTCATTAAGAATAAAATATTAGAAAGGAATCCAGAGGTCTCTATGAGGTGTGCTTTTAGGAAGAAGCTAAATTGCATTTTCTAAATTGTGTTTATTAAAGGTCTGGAACTTCTTAATAAAAAGATAAAAATCATTTGGTCCTTCAATGAGAGAGCAAGCAAGAGAAAGAGAAAGAGGAAAGATGTAGAATTTTTAAAAAAGCTGTATAAAAAAGTCATTACCATAATCTTTCTTTGAATTTCTTACACACTTCAAAGGATTACAGGTAGAACAATACTTCTTCAAATTCCTTTAAAGTATCTCACCTAATTAACTTTAAACACATAACTATTTTTATTTTTTTCTTTCCAAACTCCCCTCAAATTCCTCCCAGCCTTACTCCTTCTGGTGACCTTATGACTCTTTTCCTTTCTTCTAGGCTCTGCATCACAAAAGCCCTCAAAACCTACACTGGCAACACTAAAATATCCTTAGAGAGCAAAAAAGGAAAAGAAACTCAATAGGCAAAGCCAAACCAACTTTTAAAAGTGAAAGTGGGGATGAGAAAGATACTCAAAACATTAATTATTTTGGTCCTGTTACATAGGCTTACATATTCTTCTCTATGGATCAAATATATCTAGTTGACTTATTTATTTATTGTAAATGGTGTTTCTTGGTTTTCAAATTTTTGAATCAACTCTGTACAGAGAGTAGAAAAATTAATTGTAGTAACAGGAAATATGTTTATATTTTGCAATTTTGTATGTTACATTTTATAATGACATGTAAAAATGATAGTACAGCTGATAAATCAACTAAAAATGAATTAAAGATTTAAACATGAGACCTGAAACTGTAAACTTCAAGAAGAAAACATAAGTAAAAACTCTTTCGCATTGACCTTGGCAATGATTTTTTACATATCACAACAAAAGCTCAAGCAACAAAAACAAAATAAACAAGTAGGACTACATCAAACTACAAAGCTTCTGCACAGCAAAGGAAGCAATCAACAAAATGAAAAGGCAGCCTATGAATCAGGATAAATTATTTGCAAAGCATATATCTGATAAGGGGCAAATATCCAAAATATATAAGGAACTCCCCCAACTCAACAGCAAAAAAATCAAATAACCCAATTTAAAAATGGGCAGATAACCTAAATAGACATTTTTCCAAAGAAATCATAAAAATGGCAAGCAGGTATATAAAAATGTGCTCAATAATACTAATTGGGGAAAAGCACATATCAAAACCACAGTGAGATATCACCTCATACCTATTAGAATGGCTATTATCAAAGAGACAAGATAACAAGTATTGGTGAGGGTATGGAGGAAAGGGAACCCTTGTACACTGTTGATGAGAATGTAAATTGCCATAGCCATTATGGAAAACAGAATGGAGATTCCTAAAAATATTAAAAGCAGAACTACTATATGATCCAGCAATCTCTCTTCTGGGTATATACCCAAAGGAAATGAAATCAGTACCTTGTAGAGATATCTGCACTCCCATGTTCATTGCAGCATTATTCCATTATTCACAATAGCCAAAATAAGGGATCAACCTAAGTGCCCATTGACAGATGAATGGATAAAGAAAATGTGGTATATACATTTACAATGAAATATTACTCAGCCACAGAAAAAGGAAATCCTGTTATTTTCAATAATATGGATAAACATGGAGAAAGAACATTATGCTATATGAAATAAGCCAGACACAGAAAAACAAATACTGCATGATTTCACTTATATGTGTAATCTAAAAAAGTCAAATAGAAACAGAGAATAGAATGGTGGCTACCATTGTGGTTATCTACTCAAAGATGGAGATTAAGAAGAATGGAAAGATGTTGGTCAAAGGGTACAAAGTTGCAAGTTATGTGGGTGAATAAATCTTGACGTCTAATGTACAGCATGATGATTATAGTTAATAATAATGTATACTGGAAACTTGCCAAGAGAATAGATTTCAAATCTTCTTATTGCAAAAAAAAGTAACTATGTAAGGAGATGTATATGCTAATTTGCTTAATCATAGTAATCATTTCACTATGTATATGTCTGTTAAAACATCATGTTGCACATTAAGTAGGCAAGGAAGACTCAACTCAAACTGTTGCAATAGGGGACAGAGACTAAACGCAACTCTACTGAAACAAAAGATGGAAAGGTTTTTAAGCACTGGGTAGCTAGTGGAAAAATTACTGAAGGACATTAGTGGGGAGGTTGATCAATGAGCAGTGTCAAGCACATTGGGTTATTCCTGAGTTCACAAATGTTTTTCTCTATGATTATGCCATCTCTGTTGGCTAATTGGTGGCCCATCAAAATTAAGGTCCTATCCAACCACAGAGACTGGAAAATAGGGGTGCTGTCTTCTTTGATATTAACATTTCAAAGAGGTGATTTCAGATCCTTAAGAAAGACATCTCATGGGTTGTAAAACTGGCAAGAGGGTCAGCTCAAGATGTCTGACCAGATGTCTGACTCACCCCATCCACAAAGAAGGATCAAAACAGTGAGTAGATAACCACAAGATCTGAAAGAAAATTAAAGTCATCTTAATCACCAGTAACAATATTTCATATGCTAAAGTGCTACGTATGAACGAATGTTAAAATGATAAAATAATCCCATTTCTTCATTCCATGCCAAAGAGCACTCTAAGAAGAACTCCACTGGAGCTCAGATATACAATAATCATATGAGGTCTTCAGGGTACAAATGCATGTTTGTTCCCCTATCTTTCCTCTGACACTGAGACCACCCTTGCCATTAGCAATGGTGTGTGACTATAAGCTACATGAGGAAAGGCACTTTTCTGATTGATCATCTTTTTAGCTCTTAGAAGTCTTCATACATTAACCTACAAATGATTTATTGATTAAAACAATAAATAAATGAATATTTTCTCCCTGAAGAAACATATCAAAGAGCCCAGAACAGAATCTGAGAACCTATATGTGGTCAAAATTATCTGAAACAATCTATGTAATCTCATCTCCACTGCACTCCAACCCCTTTATTACTCTAACAGCCAAGTCATCCATTTAGATCAAGTCCAAAAGTCCATTTGACCTTTGGGTGTCCAATAGGACCTACAAAATTCATACAGATAGCTCCCTGATGCCATAGTAAGTGTGGATGAATTTTTTAAGTCCCTGTAGAAAAATATGAAGATAACTAAAAGTAAAACTACTTGTTTTATTATAAAGCATTATATGTCTATTTAATGAATCACTTACCAGATACCTTACCCTTGTAAGGAATGAATGCAGTATTTTCACTGTTTATCTTTCAGAGTGTACCATCACAGAAAATGTCTCATTATAGCTAAGTAGATTATCTACTAGCCTATTTAGGTAAGAATATAAAAGCAGAGATTTATGTACACATGGAGGATTTAGTTAATTGAACTGATCTTACATGAATTATTTCAGGAATTCCTGTCTTCATCTCAGAATGGTATGAGAGTCTACATCTATTCTGGCCTTTCCATTATTCTTGGAAAGTAAGCCACTTATGCTTTTTGAAAGTAATATCCCCAGCTGTAGTTTGGCCCCCTTAATTTTCCAGATATCCAGAGTTTTGCCCTGCAATTCTCTTATTCTTGTTCTCATCTTGAATCATTCCAATATCTTTAAGACATATTGAATTTTACTCAAGCTAAAAACAAAAAGATAAGCATACAAAAAAGAAATTTAGAGAAATCCACATTAGTTATCTAATATCACATAATAAATTACCCCAGATCTTAGTGACTAAAAACAATAAATGTGTATTATCTCACAGTGTCTGTGAATCAGGGATTTAGTTGTGGCTCACCTGGGTGGTTCTGCCTTAGGACCTCTCATGAGGTTGCAGTGAAGTTGTCAGCTGTTTCTGCAGACATCTGAAGGCTTGATTGGGCCTGGAAAATCAGTAAGAGCTCACTACCACAGTGCTGGCTGTTGGAAGGAGGCCTCAGTTTTTCCTCATCATCAGTTCCTTGAGTGTCATCATGACATAATGGCTAGCTGCCTCAGCATGAGCAATCTATGAAAGAGCATGACAGAAGCCACAACATCTTTCATAACGTTAGAAGATAGATACCACGACATCCTTCTTTTACTCCTGCCCATCTGTTCTATTTACTAACCTATGTTCCTCTCTGGTTTTGCTGCCAAGCTCTTTACATATTTGATCTACATCTTTTATCTCTTCTTTTTAACTATTCCAATTCCTCTTTATCCTCTTTCCCATCTACTTAAGTGCATATCACTTCATAGAAACTATTTCCTCATAAGTTACCAGTGATCTCTTCCTGCTAAATTTATGGCCTTGGCATTTCCTCAGACTTATTTTTCAACACTTACAGTGTTTGCTGATATGAACCACCCACTAGTGGCTTTCTCTTGTTCTTTGGCATCTCTGACACTTTATTTAAGGGCTTCTCCCATATCTCTGATGCCACTTCTCCTCCCCTCGTCCCCACTACGTCCATACTCTTGAGTGTTAGTTAGGCCCGCCCCTCTGTTTTTCTTTCTGTAGTGTGACTGGCTCACTGCTTCAGCTATGACATCTATTATCTGGCCACTAATGAATCTCCATTTTCTTCCCTACACAACCGTGGTATGTTCTTACTGTTTCTTCCTTCAAATGCCTCTTAGAAGAATTTGCCTTATCCCATTCATTCTAACTACTACCACTCTAATCCAAAGCCTCCCTAGCTCACAACCAGATTAACACAGCAATAATATACTTACTGACTCCAGTGCTGACCTTGCCTTTTCTCTAATACAACTGTCACATGCTTTGGTGCTAAATATTCTTTAGAAATTCCTTTTATCTTTTCATTTTTCAGCATGAAAATATTATAACGTACTATTTTCAAATCTAAACTCATTAGACTGACTTCCAAAACATTAAATGTTTTCCCATTTGGCTACTATACTTAGTTTCTTTTTTTTAAATTATTTCTTATTTCTCTTCGGTGAGGTCAATCTGCTCACTGTTCTCCAAATACACAAATTTCCACATTTCCCTTTTTAAATTCTATTTTTCCCCACAAAAACATGAATATTCTTATTCATCTCCTTCATACTACCAATTTTGCAAGTTTAAATTCCACAATCTCAATTAAATCTTTATTAAGGTTCATAGTAGGTTGTTCAATTTTTGAGTTCCTAATGTTCAATTAGGCACCTGTCTCTGATTCTGCATAGGTTAGTCTTATTTCCATAGCCAAGTTGTAAGCTTCATAAGGGTGGAGTCATATATTTCTTCTTATATTTCTTTTAAAACATCTAAAATAGTCTATAAGTAACATGCTGAACATATAATAGGCATGAATAAATATTTATTGGTTACCTAAATAAGGAAAACAACTAGAAAATTCCCATGGCATTTGGCAGAATGTCTATAGGCAAAAGGCTCCTTCCCAAAATATATTATCTAAAAGTGCATTTTGTGTGTGTGTCAATGAAATAAAAAAATGACTGTCTTCTAGCATAGCCAAACGTAGCTCTTAAAGCATGTGTAAAATCCAAAAGACAGAATTGATAAAGGTACAACTGTTTAAATAAAAGGCAGATACACAAAAGAATTGTTTCATTTAGCAAGTACAGAGGAAATCAGATCACATTCCAAAAGTAATTTGATAATTTCGGCAGCTGGAAAATAATTAAAGAAAACAATAAGCAATGAGCTTTTGTCTTGGATTTATTAAGAGAATTCTTTTAAAACCAAAAATGTAAGAGAAAAACCTATATGATATACGAGTAACAGAAAAAAATAGCAAACGTAATTGTATCACCGAAGAAACATTATTTTTTCTAATTCAAGCCTATTAAAAATTAATATGACCATTAACAACAACTATAGCCTATCTTTAGAAAGAGAACATATTTGTATTTCCCCCAAAGCACCATGGCTTGTTGTGCCCTCCTATGGAAGCAGTATTATGTCTTGAAAACAGCATGAGTCTCCATAATCAGTGGGACTTGAGTTACTAGCCGAGTGACCTCAGGCAAGTTACTGAATCTGGAGGAAACTTAACAACCTCACAGGGCTGTTGTGAAACTTAAATGAGATTACGTATCTGAAAGAACTTGGCATGGTGTTGGACACACACTGGCCAATACATCTTAGTCTCTTTCCTTGCTGCTTAGCAGAGATAAAGAGAGAATAGGAGGCAGAACCACACTAGAGCAGGAAGGAGAAGCCTGGGATTATTATCCCGGCTCATCAGCTACATAGATATTGTAGCAGGGATAGCAAACTATCTTCCAGTTTCCCTTTTCTTCTTCTTCGTTTTGGTAGTAGAACCCCCTGAGTTTTAATGGGTAGCCAGACAGAGCTTTATCTCTTTTGGCTTCACAGGGTTTCTTACTGTTTGATTTGCAATGCCTTTGGGTAGACCAGAAACTTCACTTTTCTACTATTCACTACTCACTCCTGCCCTATACTCAGCCAAATTCCAACATTTACCACTCCTTAACACTTAGGGTTTCTTCTGTGTATGGCCACTGGACCAGATCTCTTAAGGTATCTTCCACCATTCAGTGGTTCTAGGGAAACATTTGGAATGATTTTAATTTCTCAGGTGGTCAATACTGTAATAACTCAGTGGGATTTTTTTGTCTCTTTTTTTTTCAAAATTTAAGAGGCAATTTGAAATAATTTTAGTTTTAAAATACTCAGATCTTTTCTGCACGTTAAACCTATGATATTATATTTGGGAGATGGATGGCATATTGGTTTCCAGTGGCTGCTATAACAAATTACCACAAGCCGGATGGTTTAAAACAACAGAAACTTTTCTTTCCCAGCTCTGGTGGCCGAAAGTGTGAAATCCAGGTGTTAGCTGGGCTGCACTGCCTCTGAAGACTCCTAGGGAAAATCATTCCTTGATTCTTTCAGTAGCTCCATGCCTTATCTAGTTTGTGACTGCATCACTCCAATCCCTGCCTCCATCATCACATGACCTTCCCTGTGGCTTTGTCTTCTGTTCTGTCTCTTCTCTTCTCAGGACACTTTTCATTAGATTTAGAGCCCACCTAGATCATCCAGGATGCTCTCATCTCAAGACCTTTTAGTTACATCTGCAGATTCTATTTCTGAATAAGATCACCTTCACAGGTTCTGGGGATTAAGACTTGGATATATCTTTTAGGAACCAACTATTGAGTACACTCACTATAGAGGGCTACATAAACAATGAATTACTTATAAGGTATCTGTAGTATAAATATCTCACACTCTTAAAAGGAAATATTAAAATATCAAAATTTTCAACTATGTACAAAAACATCAATGAAAAATTTGTTTTAGGAGATTTTAATATACTTTGTGAAGCTATAAGTTCAAATAGCAATCTTTTCAATATATCAATATTTTCTACATTATCATATAATTTTCATTATTGTTAACTATGTTTTAATTTGGCAAATTTGTGCTCTATTTAAGATCACAATTATTCAAAAAGAAATCTCACACTTGACTCATTTTTTGTTTGTTTAGATAAAAAAGTAATACATAAATGCAATCTTAAAATTCAACAGAAAAATATAGAGAAAAGAATTATTCTCCTTCAACACTTCTTGCTTAATCCTCCTCTATTTCTTGGACAAATAACAGTTAAAAATTTCTCTCAGAACTTTTTGTGCAAACGTAAAAGGTAGTTGTTTGATTTTTTTGTCATAAATAGGATCATGCTGCACATATTGCTCAGTGAATTGTATTCTCCCTTTATCAATATGTCTTTTAGATTCTCTCTCTACATAAAAACCTATGCTATTATTTTTGTAACTGCACAATATTGATAGAAAGAATGTGTCAGAATTTATTGATGGACATTTAAGTTACTTTCAAATTTTTGGTGTTATAAAAATGTTCCATTGTCCTTTAGTTTAAGATGGCTTTGGCTATACAAGATCTTCTCTGGTTCCATACGAAGCAAAGAATTATATTTTCTAGATCTGTAAAGAATGATGATGGTATTTTGATAGGGATTGCATTAACTCTGTAGATCACTTTAGGTAGAATGAACATTTTAACAATATTGATTCTGCCAATTGATGAGCATGGTAGGGTTTTCCATCTGTTTATATCTTCTACAATTTCTTTAGACAGTGTTTCATAGTTCTCCCTATATGGCTCTCTCACATCCTTTGTTAAATATATTCCCAAATATTTAATTTTCTTTGACACTATTGTGAAAGGTGTTGCATCTTTGATTTGGTTTTCCACTTGACTATTATTGGCATATATGAATATCACTTATTTGTGAGCATTGATTTTGTATCCTGAGACTTTACTGAATTCATTTATCAATTCCAGGAGTCTTTTGGTTGAATCCTTGAGATTTTCTAGATATCATATCATATCATGAAAAAAGAGTGAGAGTTTGACCTCTTCTGCCCCCATTTGGACACCTTTAATTCCCCTCTCTTGTCTGATTGCTCTAGAAAGAACTTGCAGCACAATGTTGAATAGAAGTGGAGATAGTGGGCAACCTTGTCTAGTTCCAGTTCTAGGCAGGAATGCTTTCAATATTTCCCCATTTGATATTATATTGGTTGTGGGTTTATTGTATGGCCTTAATAATTTTAAGGAATGTCCCATGTATCCCTATTTTTCTAAGAATTTTTATCATAAAAGTGTTCTGGATTTTATCAAGTGCTTTTTTGGCATCTATTGAGAGAATCATATGGTCTTTGCTCTTGCTTTATTTATATGGTGAATTGCATTTATAGATTTGCATATGTTGAACCAGACTTGCATCTCTGGAATAAAGCCTACCTGGTGATGATGAATTATTTTTTTGATATGCTGTTGGATTCAGTTTGCTAAGATTTTGTTGAGGATTTTTGCGTCTATATTCCTGAGGGATATTAGTCTGTAGTTTTCTTTTTTTGTTGCGTCCTTTCTTGGCTTTGGTATAAAGGTGATACGGGTTTCACAGAATAACTTGGGAAGAATACCATCCTTCTCAATGTTTTGGAATTTCTGCAGTATAGCTATGAGTTCTTCTTTGTAGGTTTCATAAAATTCAG